ACCAACACAGATCTGCGTTCCCGCTGGGATTTAATTCATCTTCCGCGGCTCTGTCTCCCTTCATATGCCCTCCTTCCTCTCCTCTCGGCCTCACCAGATTCGATGTTTAAAAATAATCCTCAAATATGGGAACACAGTCCCCGCTGACCGGGGGCAGTGCCGAGATGCCTGCCCGACGCGTGATTGTGGATGCCGTCAGAACTCAGGAGAGTCCCGCTCACCAGAATGGCCCCCAGCTATTTGAGTTTTATTGTGGGTAGTTTCCCCATTTGCAAGGAGATAGAAGCTGGATGATAAGTCTAATCTGTCTGTGTACACGTGCTTTCTGGCGGGCCTCGCAGCGTACGTTGGGAGGCTGGGTTGGCCTCCTGTCTGAGTTGCTGAGTGGCTGTGTGACCTTGGGCAAGTCACTTCACCTCTCTGAGCCCAACCCAGAGACTCCCCACCCCGACCTTGTCCAGCAGCCTTAGGAGCGGCCAAGGACTGAGCAGACCACAGGGAGTGTGCGCGTGCTGGACGGGACGGACACAGCCTGTGTTGGCGGGGAACGCCTGTGGTGTGCAGGCCCCTCCAGGCGGATAGAGTAGGGCATGGGGGCCAAGGCATGGCTGGTGGGCGTCCTTGCACAGTGCCCCTTAGGGCAGTGGCTCCCGCCCTCTCAGGTCCCTTCAACAGTCAGTGGTCAGCGAGTAGATGTCGAGAGAATCAATGAATGAATTAGTGAATTAACACATTAATGAAAGAAGAGGTGGAATACGATAGGCCTCAATGGAGACGATCTCCTTCTAGCTGATGGAATCCAGGCAGTCTTCCCGGAGGAGGGGGCACTGGAGCAGCTTCTGAAGTGGTACAGGATGTACTCACAGGAACCAGGGCAGGCACCCCAGGTGTGAGTGACAGCTTCCCCCAATATATGCGGGGCTTGGTGGGAGGGGAAGCAGCAGGAGAGAGGGCTGGGCACGTGGCAGAGGTGGACTCCTTCCCACCGGCTCTCAGATTGGAGCCTCAGCTCCAAAACTGGGGCAGCCTCCCCCGACAGGGGCCAGAGGGACCTGGGCCTCCCCGTCGGTAGATGGGGCCAACATTGGCGGGGGGCATCATCCTCGAGGACCCACCTTCCCTGCCCCCCCACAGTGCATTGTCCAGGGCAGATCCCCAGGTTCCCCAGTGGAAATCCTTCCTAAGCACTTTCCAATGCTTTAATCTCCTTCCTCCTCCCCGAGGCCCTGAGGGAGGGCAGGAGGACACCAAGGCTCAGAGCAATTAAGCGGCTTACAGCCTGCGGGGCAGAGCCGGCTCCCTGTGTGCGGGGTGCGGGGTGCGGGCGGGCGTGGGCGGAGCAGAGGAGAGCCGAGAGGCCTGTGGAGAGTCAGGAAGGCCCTCCCCCAGGAGCACTCACCAGGAGTACTCATCACGGCTCAGTATTTCAGCCTTGGACCTGCCACCCCCTCTTCTGTTCTGGCTCACACCTCAGAAGGGCTCCTGGTACCCTCGTGCCGCCCACTGCCCACTGCCCACTGCCCACTGCCCACTGCCCACTGCCCACTGCCCGTGCTGCTGGTGAGAAGACCAAGGGCCCGAGAGCAGGGCCGGGCCGGATGCTGCGCCTCCTGCACTGGGCCTTGAGGCTGGGCCGGGCTCCTTGCCCGAGGTCTTCAGCTTCTGGGCTGTCCCGTGGCTCTCTGTTCTGCTGCCAGGATCCTGAGCTGCCTGCGCCTGGCTCCCGCCCCTGCGCTCCCTGCCAGGCTGCCAGCTTTTAAGAGTGAGGACAAGCCAGCTGAGAGGCGGCCCCTGCAGCCCAGGCTGGGGCCGGACCCGTGCCGGTGCCCCAGGACAGTCTGGGCAGCCAGAGGGGCCGCTCCTGGGGGCTGCGTGTGGCCCTGCTCAGCCTCCTCTCCCAGAGCAAACCTCACCACGAGGGCCCATCTCTGGGGCCACTCGGGGGGCTGGAGGGCCTCACCAAGGCGGGGACAGGGTGGCACTGACATCAGAACCAGATGGAGGGGGCAGGGCGCCCACAGGAACCCGCTGAGCAGATGGGGGACAGCCTGGGCAGGCGGGTGCGGCCGGCTCTGCAGGGGTCCACCCCTCACATCACATCCTGCTCCCAGGTGAGCGGCGAGCTTCCTGCGCCCTCCCTGGGGCTGCTGGACCGGGGCTCGCTCACAGAAGCAGGCGCTCGCAGCCTGCAGGCCGGAGCCCGAGTTCACCAGGGCTGGCTCTGATGGGAGCTCTCAGGGCGACTGAGCCCGAGGTCACCAGGGCTGGCTCTGGTGGGAGCTCTCAGGGCGACTGTCCAGGCCTCGCCCTGGCTTCTGGGAGCTTGGGGGTGATCCTTGGGGTTTGCTGGCGTGTGGGCTTGTCACCCCATCTCCGCCTCCGTCTTCACCTGGGTCTTCCCTGTGCGCGCGTCTCTGTGAGAAGCCGGTCATGGTGGGTGGGGCCCATCCTCTCTGCTGTGACCTCGTCTTAATTGCATCTGCCTCAGCCCTAATTCCCAATAAGGGCCCATTCTGAGTTCCTGGGGTTAGAGCTTCCACATGAACTTGGCGGGGACACAATTCATACACCATAACGGGGTGCCACTAGGGCCCCATTTGGCCCAGAGTCCAGCACAGAGTAGGTGCTATAAAGATGCATCCAAGGCTTCACACGCATTGTCTCATTTGACCTTCAGAGAACAACCTTGAGGTTAGTCAAACGCCTCAGGGCCCCTGTTCCTGGCATCCCTCCTGCAGGAGGCGCTGCGCCAGGGACACTCTGCCTCCCCACCCTCACCCGACACACACACACACACACACACACACGCATGCACGCACACACACGCGCGCGCACACACGCGCGCGCACACGCGCGCGCACACGCACACACACGCACACGCACGCACGCACACACCTTGCTTTATTCCCCTCCTAGCCTTTTTATTGCGATAAAATACACTTAACGTAACATTTTCCATGTCAGCCCCTTTCGGTGCACAGCTCGGTGGCAGCGAGTACTTTCGCTTTGCTGTGCAGCCTCCACCGCCATCGCCTCCAGAACTTTTGCCTCTTCCCCGCCAGAAGCTGTTCATTAGACACCAACCCCATCCCTCCTCCCCCAGCCCCTGGCGGCCACCAGCGACTCTGTCTATGAATTCGACTCCTCCAGGGGCCTCGTGTAAGTGGAATCGCACGGAATGTGTCCCTCGGTGACGGGCTCTTTCGCTCAGCGCAGTGTCCCCGAGGTTCACCGTGTGGCAATGCCAGCATTTCCTTCCTTTTGTGGCTGAATCCTAGGCCGTGGTCCGGGCGGACCACACTGCGGCTTTTCCAGTCACCCGTCCACGGACACCTGGGTTGTTTGCCCCTTTGGGCTCCTGTGGCTTGTGCTTCTGTGAACACATGAAGCACACCTGAGCCCCTGCCTTTGATTAAGTCTCCTTTTCTGTGAAAAGAAAAGGAGGTGACAGTTGACTGGTGAGGGAAGGTCATTCATTGTGGACAGGGGTCTGTTCTCGTCCTCAGGGTGTGTCCCCTCGGAGCATTTTAAATGCTGATCCGTTTCGGTGCTGTCGGTACAGTGCGGCCGGGGCAGGAACTGCCTCTGTTCAGTGCTAATGCATCTGTTTTGTTCACTGCTTTTGTCCCTGGTGCCGGGATGGGCAGGGCCCGCCTGGGGCACACTGTGGCCAGGGTCCTGGAAGTCAGGGTGCGAGACACGGCAGGAGGCCGGGGTCCTGCGCACCCGGAGGTGCGGGTGCAGCCCCCCACCCCCGCGCCCGCCCCGCCTGCTGCCTCG